TATATATATATATATATATATATATATAAAAAGGTTTGTCTTGTTATATAGTAAGCCCCCGTTTGGCTATGTCAATTCCATACAATATAGGGAATTTATATCGGTTTCGCTAGTGGTACATCGGGGTATGCCTAATGGTGTACACCCCACTCACATGGATGAAGAACCCGCTCAAATAAAATATAATTTCTTTCACATGGGTCTCACACCCATGTAAGTGGAGTGTACATCATTCGGTACACCCCATTATATACCACTAGACAAATTCAATTTATATATACATATATGAACAAAATATTGTAGATTGATCTAGCCCTCATTTTCGAAAAATGAAAATAGGTGGTATAATGTTTTTTTGAAAAATGAGTGATTGAAAAAAAAAGTTTTTGATTTACGTGTAATATTATTTTATAGAAAATTGTGTGGTTGAAAATAAGAAAGAGAAAAGTGAAATATAACGTAATGAAATTTAATGGTGGCCAAACAGGGCTTTAGAAAGAAGAAGAAAATAATTTAAATATAATAAAACAGTAATTTCAAAATAACATAGATTGATAGAAGGGTAAAAGCCAAAAATAATAAATAAATAAAATTTACCTTTTCCTGACAAGGGGAAATTTTTACCAAAAGTAAACCTCAAGGGAAAGCTTTGAATTCTTTAAAAATAAATGGAAAGTCTTTGTAATTCCTTGAGGTTTATGTTTTTTTTCATAGATGATAAAAAAAAACCGTCCCTTTCCACCCCGTCCCATCCCTCTCTGCCGTGTCGGGTTAGCAAGACGGGACGGGACGGGAGTCTCCATCCCATCTTGGTTCTCAGGGAGGGACAAGAAGAAAAAAATTGTTAGTTTAAGCATTATTCCCTGCCCCGAACTCAATCCACTACCATCCCTGGTTATTTTCTCTAATTTTCAAGTTGCCCCCGTTAACATCAAAATCTCATGAAACAAAGATAGTTAATTTTCCTGACTTTACATATATAGAAGCTAGAGTTTATACCCGTAGGTCGTCCTCACTTTAAAGTTTTATAATTCGGACTACCAAAAAATTCACCCTATAATGATATAATTTGGCCAATGCATGTGCACACGAAGGATTCAAATAAGTAAGTAGAAAAGAAGAAGAAGAAAAAGAAGGTTTTAAGCATGTTCCAAGATTTCAATTTGAAGTTTTCACTAATTCAAGTTGATTGCCTTGTTTGAGCCCCATTCTTGCCAAAGAATTCATTTTTGAATAGTA